TGACCCCATAGATCCAGTCTTCAAATTTGCAGAGAAAAACCAAGCTTTATCTTCTTCTGCTTTTCAATCTGTCGGCGTTGTTAAGTGATAAGGAATTACCATTTGTGTACTGGGATTCAAAAAACGAGCTGAAGACGATAAGTTCAGAGGATTCAGTGACTGATAAAGTTCCCCATAGCGGTCCATTGAGTGGGCCTTTGAACAAGAGGGTACCCAGGAAAAGTGCCCGGTTCAACGTCCCGGAACCGAGCTCATCCAAAGACGACGGTTACGTTGAGCTTACCCTCGATGTTTCCGATGACTCGATGGCGGTTCACAGTTTAAAGGCCGCAAACGGAGGCGATTTGGAAGAAGACCCGGAGCTAAGTTTGATTGCCAAAGGTCTCGATAAGAGGACCACATTGGGAACATTGATGGCGAGGAATGCTTCGGCCAAGAATAGGCAAGTGAGTCACGAGTTGAAGCGCTTAACGTCGTTCTCTAAAAAGCCGGGCCGGTTCGACAGGGCTAAGGCAGGGGAGGCTCATGCTTTGAAAGGGCTCAAGTTCATTAGCAAGACTGATGGCGAACATGGATGGGCAGCTGTTGAAAAGCGGTTCAATGAGATTACCGATTCGAACAAAGATCTTTGCCTCGTGAAAGTTTTGGAGAATGCATAGGTACGTTTTTTTGAGAGAGCAATGAATATGTGAATTTTCATTTCAGTTGAGACATTTTTGAGAATCGATGTGTTTAATGGCAGGAATGGAGTCTAAGGAATTTGCAGGGCTGTTGTTTGATGCACTTGCTCGAAACCGAAACTTTCATGGCGATTCCATTGATAAGGCTCGCCTCAAAGAGTTCTGGGATCAGATCTCGAATCAAAGCTTCGATGCCAGGCTTCAAATTTTCTTTGCATGTAAATTCCTTTGAGCTTATTTCGATCCGAACTTGAAAATTTGACCCGATTACCTCGAATGCCAGGATTGATAAAGATGCAGATGGAAGAAGTCAAAGAGGTAATGCCATGGCATGCTAATTGCAGCTCATGTTAGTTAGTCTTAGTTGTAGGAGTCAGATATGTCTTTAGGTAGGGACGGTTACAAAATTTTATGTAAGAGGACGAAATTTGATTATCAAAAGAAAATACAAAGAAAATAACTAAACTATACGAACATTTAGAAATTCCACCGAGGCAGTTGTCCCCCAACCTCCTCGGTCCATCCGTGTCTCTGGGTCCTTGATAGAATCAGATATTGATACTTAAACCAAGAAGTTGACTATATGATATGTTCCATAGAGTGATTGCAGTCTATGTTACATGGACTTAGGTGTGAGTGTCCGATATAGGTTTGTGTTCGATGTTCAAGTTTCTTATGTTATTTGGATTTAGATGTGAGTTCCGGATATAGGTATGTGCTCGACAAGTGTATATTTCTTTTATCTCTGTTTTTTTCCAATACTTCAAGCAAAAAATGTAGTCAGAATTATGTGTAATGAAACTATGGATACATATAACCAAGAAGTTGACTATCTAATATGTTCCTTGGAGTGATTGCAGTCTATGTTACATGGACTTAGATGCGAGTGTTGGATATAGGTATGTGTTCGACGAGTGTATATTTCTTTTATCTATGTTTTTTTCCCAATACTTCAAGCAAAATGTAGTCAGAATCATGTGTAATGAAACTATGGATGCATATAACCAAGAAGTTGATTATATGATATGTTCCTTGGAGTGATTGCAGTCTATGTTACATGGACTTAGATGTGAGTTTGGGACATAGGTATGTGTTCGGCGAGTGTATGTGCATTTTATCTATGTTTTTTCCAGTACTTCAAGCAAAATGTTGTCAGAATGATGAAACTATCGATACATATATAACCAAGAAGTCGACTATATAATATGTTCCTTAGAGTAATTACATCTAAATGTTGATTTCCTTTTGCAGATTATCAGCCTCAGTGCCTCTGCAAACAAACTCTCAAATATCCAGAAACAAGCTGAGGAATATGCTGCTTTGATTATGGAAGAATTAGACCCTGATAATCTAGGATACATTATGGTAAAATTCGAATAGCTTTACTATTATTGTAGGTTTTGCTTCTTTTAATCTTTTGACATCAATTCCATGACCCAAGTTCTTGAACTTCAAACCAGATGAACAACCTGGAAATGCTTCTCCTACAAGCACCGAATCAATCCGAAAGAGGAGAAAGCCAAAACCTGAGCCTTATGATAAGCCAGAAGCATAAGCCTACACATGACCATAACCCGGTGAGGAGATTCTATAGGGACACCAAGTATTTCTTGGTAGATAACTGGCTAAGAGTTTGGGTGATGGCTCTATGGATCGGCGCTATGTGCGGCCTATTTGCTTACAAGTATGTCGAATATCGAAGACGAAAAGACGTATTTGATGTGTTGGGGAATTGTGTTTGCTTTGCCAAAGGTGCAGCCGAGACACTTAAATTGAATATGGCTCTGGTTCTGCTACCAGTCTGTCGTAACACCATCACCTGGTTAAGGAACAAGACGAAACTTGGCGTTGTAATTCCCTTTGACGACAATATTAACTTCCACAAGATAATAACACAGACATTTAACATAGGGTTTATTGCATGCATGATGGAATTACCAGATGAATCAATTGCTTATATTACAGGTGATTGCAGTTGCGATTTCGATTGGGGTCGGCATACATGGAATTGCTCATTTGGCATGCGATTTCCCTCTGCTGCTTAGTGCCACACCTGATGAATATAAACCAATGATAAAATATTTTGGAAAACAACCCAGAGTTATTGGCATTTTGTTAGGCACGTAGAAGGAGTAACTGGGATTGTAATGGTTGTGTTAATGGCCATAGCTTTCACACTAGCCACTCCATGGTTCAGGCGCGGTAAGATGAACCTTCCTGTGCCACTTAAGAAGCTCACTGGCTTCAATGCCTTCTGGTATTCTCACCATCTATTTGTCATTGTTTACACACTTCTCGTTGTCCATGGAATTAAGCTCTTCCTGACCGAGAAAACTATCAAGAAAAAGGTAAGCAACGGCCACAAACTCGTCTTACTGTAAAAACCATTTCTTTTTGAATTAATTTGTTTTGGACATGGCAGACTTGGATGTACTTGGCTGTTCCAGTTCTCCTTTATTTATGTGAAAGATTGACAAGGCTGCTTAGATCAAGCACCAAGGCTGTTACAATACAGCAGGTAAGCACTATGTCACACTGAACACAATCCAAATGCAATGTATCATAAAGTTCATCAGGGTTTCTAATTTCTGCCATTGAAAACTTCAGGTTGCTGTTAATCCTGGAAATGTACTAGCACTTCACATGTCGAAGCCTCATGGATTTCGATACAAGAGCAGACAATACATGTTCGTCAATTGCGCCGCGGTGTCTCCTTTCGAATGGTAAGCCTTTGCCTTCATTATATGGTTCAGACATAGCCTGCAATTTGTTTTTCCTGCTAACTTTGTTTTAACATGGCAATGATTTGGTTACATGGGAACAGGCATCCATTTTTGATTACTTCGGCCCCTGGTGACGAATATCTTAGTGTTCATATAAGGACTCTCGGTGACTGGACTCGACAACTGAGGACTGTATTTTCAGAGGTAAGTCACCCCTCCATCATAATCTCTGACGTGCAGCACGGACCAATTAAGCTAAACCCGAGTTTTAGTGTTGGAAATGTTGTTTAAGGCTGCTAAGATTTATGTTTAACTTGTTCTTCCAGGTGTGTCTACAACCTACTAATGGGAAAAGTGGCCTCCTTAGAGCCGACTACTTGCAAGGATCTGCCAACCCAGAGTCAAACTCATGACTAACTTAATCATCTCTTTCCTTTTTTACTTTTTGAAGCAACAAAAACATAACTTTGGAAGGTATCAATCTTTATATCCTGTGTAGCTTGGAATCTTCCTTTCTTTTGAAGTATCCGTGTCCAGCACATGGATAAGGGGATATATAACCTCCAAAGCTCCTCCAAATACGTGAAAACCTCGAAAAAATCTGATCATTCCCGTATCCAAGACTATTTGAGTCCGAGTAACAATGCATCTAGATGCCTAGGGGTGAGTATTCGATCAAGTCGAGTCCAATCACCAGGGTTTTTAGGATTAAACTTTATCATATCTCAATCAGCAAGTTAATGTTCAGCTCAGATGATCGTTAATAGTTCAACGAAAAAGGACGAGTTTGGAACATAGGATAGTCGGGTGAAGGGTGACCATTTTGTAACTTCTAATAATTGAGCGACTCAACCGAGTAATATACTATAGCCGATGGACCATTTATGTATTTTAACCTATTTTTTTCACTTTCATTTCACATGAATGACGATGTGCTAACAACATGATATTCTTTGATCTAATTGGTGATTCCTATAGTTTCTCAAGAGTTCTAATCGATGGACAGTGGAGCGCCGGCACAAGACTACAAGAAATATGAAGTGGCTTTGCTAGTCGGACTGGGGATCGGAGCAACCCCGATGATCAGCATTGTCAAGGACATAGTAAACAACATGAAGACCAAGGAAGAAGGAGAAGAGATGAGCGGTTTAGAGAATGGGAAGGGGGCAGCCATTAGTAAAAGCAGCTCCTCAAATTCCAAAAGGAGGCTAGAAAACTTCAAGACAAGAAGGGCATACTTTTATTGGGTGACAAGGGAACAAGGATCCTTTGATTGGTTCAAAGGAAAAATGAATGAAGTAGCTGAAATGGACCATAACCATGTTATAGAACTCCACAATTACTGCACCAGTGTTTACGAAGGAGGCGACGCTCGTTCAGCTTTAACCACCATGCTTCAGTCTCTCAATTACGCTAAAAACGGAGCCGACGTAGTTTCCGGTACGAGTGAAATCCCACTTCGCTAAGCCTGATTGGCACAGGGTTTTCAAGCAAATTGCTGTTAATCATAACAATGCGAAGACGTTCAAATGCTGACATTTACAAATTGAACATATTAAGTTGAAAGGATCATTCACAATATTAAACCCCTATGAAATCCGATCCAAGTGTGTGTTCACCCACTGTCACGAGTAAATATAACAAAATTCTACAAGTTCTAGCATTCATTCGCCCCCCCCCCCATAGGATTGGGGATGGTTTTAGATCCAAGATTAAAAAAAAAAACACATGAAAACTGTGTCTCTTCAAATCATACAATCTTCTAAAAACATCCCACCCAAGTACCAAGAATGTTTCATCTATTCAAACCACTTCTAAAAAGCACAAAATTTTGTCCCAAAGTGAAAACAGATCACCTCCATTCACCTCTTTTCACGACCATTTCTCTCAAGTCTCACGTCTCCTTCTGCGTGGAGCAGCGGCATTTTCTTCTCTCTCTTCTTCTTCTTCGGCCTTTTCTCCGCTGGTGGATTCGTTGTTTGATGCCTCCGCGGCCTCTGGTTTCTTCTCGACTCTTGGCTGCAAAGAGATTCATCAATGGAGTTGAGACCAAAAGCTATAGAAGAAAGGAACGCTATCATATAGACCAACAAGGTTGCTTCGAAAATCTTACTTGCTTCTTGCCACCGAAAATGAGCTTTAAGAAAACTGTGAGGATGATCACGGCAATCGAGACTATCACACCAATAGTGATATTTGGTTGTTTCTCTGCCTTTTCAATGAGATCCTGAAAGGGAGAAGACAATTTCAGATAAAACCAACTAATGAATATTAATTCGCATATAAACAAGCATATTTACGACAACTTACAAGGATTTGAAGCTTGTATTCACTCAAGAAAGGAATATCGGCAACCTTGTATAGGACATCAAAGGCCTTCTTCTGCAGGAAAGAAACAACAAACTTTATTCTATACAGATAAAGATTTAGAGGACCAACATCAACGAAGTAACCTTGTCAATGCGTTACCTGGAACCCTGAAAGTCCACCTGGGTCGGCAGCTTCTTCCTCAACCTTCTGCTTTTCTTTCTCAACCTCAAACTTGGGTTTCCATTCGGTCTCCCTGTAGGTCTCGGCAACCTTTTCGTTTTTGGCGATCAAAATGTTGTCAAACAATATGCCATCTTGCATTGTCCAGATCTCAATACCAATAGCAGCAATAGGCTCAAAGACGGGCTTGTCAAGCTCAAAGTAGTCGGGGTTTGGAATTTCCTGAGGCTTCCAAATACCCTTGTAATTGGGGTTATCGATGAGAGGAGCAGACCATTTTCCCCTGTAAGACGGGTTCATCTTCATTGGTCTCTTCCATTCACCACAACCAGGGGCTGCCTCGCACTTTGGGTTATCAATTTTGGGGGCTTCCCACTCACCATCTTCTTCATCATCCCAATCTTCCGGTTTGGTTGCCTCGGGATCATCTATCTCCTCAGGCTCATCATCCAACCATCCTTCCGGTTTCACAGCTTCCTCATCTTCAATTTCCATGGGTGCATCCTCATCCCAATCATCTGGCTTTACAGCACTGGGATCTGGAATTTTGGCTCTCTCATCCCAATCCTCGGGTTTCTTATCATCTGGATCGGGAATTGTCTTAGCAGGGATAAGTGGAGGCTCAAAATCATCACCCGAGAGGAAATTTGCCTTCTTTTTCTCCTCACCATCAATCAGAATTTTAACTTCATTGTCAGGCTTCAAGATAGCAGCGTACACATGAGTAAGCTTGTCGGACGGAACAGAAGGTGGATATTTAAGATGATGTTCAACGTATTCCCCGCTTTTAGGATTCTTGTGCTTCAAGATGAAGTGCACCTTGTTTGTGCCCCCACATTTGTCGGGCCCAAACATGATGGAGTAAGGGGATCCATTGTCGAATTCCTTAGGCTTCCATCCAGCCTCTTGAGGACGAAGGTATTTCAAATATGCACCACCACACTCAAGCCCGTTCTGGAGGCGAGTCTCGAACTGAAGCACAGTGCTTCCATCCTTGAGACTCACAGGCTTATCGAGCTCATTCACTATCGCATACTTCCTCGCCTTCTCACTCACAAGAAGACCATAATCATCATGCCCTTCACTCTTTGAATGCTTCCATACACCTGAAAATAACCCAAAACACCATTAATCTATACCCTTCAACTACCTGAAACATCTAACAGGCCAATGAGCATCATATCATAGCAAAGTTAAACATCATCAATCTAACAAATAACACCAGCACCGGATCGAAGAAATGTCGGATTGTACATAAATAAACATCATTAAATATCTTATCACTAATCCAACTTTCCCAAAGATCAAGCTTTCTACCCATATATTGCTAGTTCAATTTCTAATTCTAGTTCTAAATGAACGCGAAATCTCAAATAACCTCCACAACTAATCAACACTTCGAAACATTTCAAAACAGCATAAAGAAAGCGGACGCTATGAAAAAAACATTCAACAGAAGAGATCTATAAGTAGAAAAACAAAATTAATTTTTCTTAAAAAAAAGAAGCAATCTCACCTTTATAATCATCTTTATCAGAGACGATCCATCGCCCATCAAACGGCTCGTCAAATGATTCATAAAAGACCTAAAACAAAACCCAATCACTTCAAATTTACACAGATTCAAACATTCTTAAAAAAATCTAGGGTTTAAAGAAATAACTAAGTTTACCGTGTCATCATCGGCGGCGAAGCAGAGGCACTGAAATGAAGCGAAAGCCAGGAAAAGGAGAAGAGCGAAACGCCCCATCATCTTCAACCAAAGAACCCTAAAACTAATGATCGAAGATTTTCCCCCCTTTTTGAATCTGAATTCAAGTCTACACAGAAGCCCCCACTGTGTTTGTGTTAATTTTATAGATCTTCGCGAGACTGGCGTCGACTTGTTTTGCCCAATGAAACTACGCGCCACGTAAAACTACCCAATGGTTTGATGCCACGTCGACGAATGACACGAATTTTGCTTTATGTATGGTATAATTAGTATACTTTTTTTCTTTAACTTTCTTTTGGAAACGTTTTGGTACAATTTTGTTTTTAGTCCCTATACTTGAGAATAATTTAGTTCAAGTCACAGGTAGTGTTAAAATTTTATGTTAGACCTTTAATGTGGATTATTTGAATAATAATAATAATAATAATAATTTACCCTTTAAATGACATAATATTTTTTTTTAAATATTTTTACATCGACCTAATAAGGAAATATTTTAACGGTATTATTGATATGGATCAAATCATAATATTAAATAAAAAATATCATGATCAAATTATATTAAATTATAGTGATTAAAGTACGGGTAAAGTACACACAAATGGTCATCGATTATATGATATTGTTTTATTGAATCTTTTAACTATTAAAAGTTGTAAAGCGATCGGAGTTGCTTTGTTGAGTTATTCGACTATAAAAAAATTATAAAATGGTCACTCAACTATTCATTATGTTCCAAACCCATCCTTTTATGTTAAAAATTAACAGTCATCTAAGTTGAACTTTAACATGTTGACTTAGATATGATAATAATTTTGAAATTATGAGATCAAATTTTATCATATCTCAATTAACATGTTATCATATAACTCAAACTGCCGTCAAATTTTTAACGGAACAGAATAAGTTTGGAACATAATGAATAGTCGGATGACCATTTTATAACTTTTAATAGTCGAGATGCTCAACAAAGTAATTTCATATAGTTGAAAGATTATTTTATAATTTTTATTAATTAAATAACTCAATAAAATAATATTCTATAATCTATGAACTATTTATTTACTCTACCCGTCAAATTATTTTTTAATGTATTTAATTTGAAATAAATATTTATTATAGAAACATTACATTTTTAAATTTATTAATAAATAAAGTGTATAAATAGATCATTAGATTACGTTGAAATAATTTTTTAATATTAAAATTTTAAAATTATTAAATAATTATTAAATTTTTCAATATTTATAAGATAATCATTAATTGTTATCAATTATTATAAAATGGTCATTAGGTTTATAAAATTATTATATAATAATCACTAAATTATTATAAGATAAATTGACGACGGAAATGACAAATTTGTTAAGCCAACGTCGGTTATCGTCTTTTTATCAACCTCTACATTAATTATTTTATCCTTCAAATATTATTAAAAACGCTAAATGATAATAGGGTAAAGTACACAAATGGTATCTCAACTATAAACTATTGTTTTATTGAGTATTCCGACTATTAAAAATTATAAAATATCAACCGACTATTCATTATGTTCCAAACTCGTCTTTTTTCGTTAAAAAATAATGTTAGTTTGAGCTAAACGTTAACCTGCTGAATGAGATATACAATCATTTAAGATTTTGTGATCATATTAAATCATATCTTAGTTAGTAAGTTAACGTCCAACTCAAACTGTCATCAACTTTTTAATGAAAAAAGACGAGTTTGGAACAAAATGAATACTCGGGTGATCATTTTATATCTTTTAATAATCAGATGACTTAAAAAAGTAACGTCATACAGTCGGAGGACTCAATAAAAAAACACCCTATAGTCAGGGATCATTTATGTATTTTTTCACATGATAATAATGGGAAACAAAGCAGCTAGAATACCACATAATAAAGCTAACAGTAGACACCAAATGACCTAAATCAATCACTCGGTAGTACACACACAATACAATTTGGTTCAACGCCATGATATTCACTGAGGCAATTTCTCGGCAACCAAGAGGTAGAATAGCCCCATAACTCCTGTATGTTGTTGGATACTGCTATAATTTAACTCTAAAATTAGAGTCTCCCCTTTAGATATCTTCACACTTCCTGGTTTCGGGTAGCATGTCGACATTCCTACGACGTACCCGGCTTCGTTCCCGGCTTCCACCCCGGTCCCGTATATCGGTACCGAATTGCACAAAGGCTTGCCATCCTGATTGTCATGCAACAACAGGCACATCTCGACATTAGAAGAAAAAATGTTACGTCATCTAGACATGTTGAATTCGACCCGAATGCAAAAACCTGACCCGATCGACCCGAAATCGTGTCGATTTGACCACAGTTTCTAGACTATGTATGTATAAAAGGACACTTCAATACCTTCCTAGAGAGAGCAGAACCAGAGCCACCAACATGTTGGTGCCCAACACCATAAATAACATAGCCACTGAATGGCATGTCAAGGCTAATCCTTTTGTCGTCGATGCATCTGTATCTGGCCGATCCCGTGGATCGGCAAGATTCGATGTCGTATTCAACCTGCATCATAGATAAACAAAATTTATTCCAAAAAAAAGGGAAACCATTGCAGCAAATGAACAATTGGCGTACCATGCAATCGTGCTCTGCATTGATCCCCGTTGAATTTCTAGACCTCCTCCACCTGTCGGTAATATCGAATATGTAAACTTTAACGGGCACGATCGAGCTATCCATGTCGACCCACGTCACGGTGTATCGAAGGTAAAGGGTTCTTTTGATGCCATTAAACGTTTCATTCCTCCTACATCGTGCACCGTCGTAGCAACATAATAAGCCCCCCTTGTAGTCTGGACTCAGAGGTCTTCCGGATTCATCCCTCGTAACGTTGTAAAGATCGCACCGGCATTCGATGCAACCGATCCTATCTGCCACTCCCCTTGTGTCGATCGCATGAACATTGATCGCCCATGTCTCTTCAAACCCTGCAGGAATCTCAGCAGGGTTACCGATTTCTATCCCGTAAGGGCCGGGAATATGTGTCGCAGTTCTTCGTGTCTCGGAACCAAGACCGAAGAACTGATCGAGAACCCCATCGTTACAAATCCCGCTATTCCTCCCAGAGATATAATCCGAACTATTGAGTCTCGAAACGTCGCGAGTCCACAAACCTTCGCGTACAAAGAACCTCTCAACAATCCAATGGTGCAGGTAAGTATCATACAGCGGAACAGGATTCCCGGCCTCATCAACAATTTCGGCATCGAAACTTTTCACGGCAATATGACCTCTCGGGAAATCGACGTCGAAATAGAATTTATTCGACACCAACCCCGGTTCAAGCTCGATCTTAGGTGACAGAAAAACACCAGTTCTCACTCTCCCAGAGGCTACTGTAAATGGTAGGCTTGAAGTCACCAAAATTTCGACCAAAACCAACCATCCAAGATTGGAACTTTTCATTTTTCCTGTCAGTTCAACATATTGAGTCAAACCATATAATCAAGCAAATATATACGTATACGTATACGTATACATATACGTATACGTATATGTATACATATATGAAAACAGTATATTATCATAAATCTACGATAAAAGAAGATTAGAGCTGCTGAAGCAACTTACCTTCCGAAGAGATTAGGCTTCTGGTGTTCAAGGTGATGCATTCTAATGGATTCAGTTCAATATATATATATAAAGTGTATTTTTGCTACGAAAATTTCAAGGTTTTTTTTTTATTTTAAAATTCACGTTGAATAAAAAAAATAAAAAAAAAATAGCTGTAAACCTTTGATTTCAAAGATGGCTACCAAGTTAATTTATTCGACAAAACGGGACGGACGCAAGATTACATGGTGGTAGGGACGGACGTAGAACTTTATGTTAAGAGACGCGGAGTTAAAAAGTCATATTAAAGATTTTAACGGGTGCAGAGTTATAAAATTTTAGAGGTACGAAATTAGATGATCAATAGAAAATACAAAAACATATAAAATATAAGAGAATTTAAAAATTCTAACGAGTGCGACTGCATCCCTGGGTTTATTAAATTTTTAAAAAATAATTTGATTGTTGAACTCGTGTATTATTTTATTTTAATCGATCGAGTATTAAATAAAAAATAGCATGGTAGCATGATCGATTTATGATGATGTGGAAGTCGTACGTTGGTCACATCAATTTTTTTTTTGCTTTTTTTTTTTTGCTATAAAGAGACACTTTTAAAGTGTTACATATGCGTCGTGTTGATACCGAATCGTTATTCTCTTGCATCTTTTTCAATCACATAAGACATAGATGAATAGGCCTATTGATTCTTACCATTTCATCGATTCAAATTTTCTCAAAATTTATTCGAAACTCGTGAAATTCAATCTAGAATTTAGAAGAAAAACGAACATGTTCTACGATACCCATCGTTCGATCAACATAAAATAAAAATATTTTTTTTTTCTTTCTTTTCTACCTCTCCACTGTTGAGATCGGAAATAAAATACTCTACCGTCTAGAAAGTACTAAGAAAATCGAAAGTGGAGCTTTTTTTTATCTAAAAAGTAAACAAAGTTCAACGGTGTTTTATAATATTTATAATTTATCATTGTTAACTATCCACTAATACATATTTAATAACTTAATTAAAATGAATCATTCAACCCTAATCTTAATTTATTAAGTAATTAAATGAACGATTTTTATTTCTAGAAATCATGATTCGAGCACCAACGACTGCAACATTGAATGATTGAGCGCTTATTGTCGAATGATCGATAATATTTAGAACATATATTACTTTTTAATCAACATAATTTAATAAAAAAATGTAGATTGGGATCAAAATTAAACACTACCCTAATTTAAGTCATTTGATGCAGACTTAAGAAATTATATTAAAAATTATTGAAAGAGAAGTTATAAAATTATAAAATATACGGAATTAGATAATCAATAAAAAAATATAAAATAAAATTAAAATATAAGAAAATTTAAAATTCCAAGGCACGATCCATCCCTATTTAAATTGGATAACGTGTTGTTTCCTACAATATCTTCTTCCACAAAGATTTATTATGAATGTTGAGCTATCGGTCCAAATTTAAGCACACGTATGTTCCGTGTTAAGGTGAAACATGGAAACTTCCTTGTACATTGAGATGATTTTTATAAATGGGGTCTCAATAAAGAAAGTGATGTCTAATATTTTTAAAACAAAAATAGACAAGCATTAGTTTTAATTGTCAACTTTGTCTTATTTCCGTGTTAGAATTGAGATTAATTTAAAATCTTAAAACAACTTTTAAAATATCAACAACTAGTTGGTGTAGTCGAATGAGGCACTAAATCTCTTAAGTAAGGTTAATGGTTTGAATCCTGATGATTAACAACTTTTAAAATATCAACAACTAGTTGGTCTAGTCGATTGAGACACTAGATCCATTAAGTAAGGTTAATGGTTTGAATCCTGATGATTGTGTGAATGGAGCAAACTGAGTTAGGATTAGGGATGGGCATGGGACATGAACCCGACTGGTTTCGACCAGACCGGGTCGGGTTTTTCTAAAAAAAAATTGGGTTCGAGTCGGGATTTTTTTAAAAGGTGATACTCAAGTCGGGTTTTTTAAAAAGTGATATTCGGGTCGGATTTTTTTAAAGGTAATATTCGGGTCGGGTCGAATTCGGGTTTAGGTGAAAAATACTCGACCCAAAAAAAATATAATTTTACCTTATATATTTAGGAATAATTACAACAATACTCGTCTATATATTATTTTTCAATTAAATAACTATTTTTATTAAATAAAAATAATATTTTTATTATTATTTTGGGTCGGGTCGGGTTGAATTTGGATTTTATCTCAAAAATCAGGTCGGGTTCGGGTCGGGTGGAGGGTATATATATTTTTCGGGTCGGGTCGGATCGAGTTGGCCCAAACCCGACCAATGCCCATCCCTAGTTGGGAGAATCGTTCTTGTCTCTACAGTATCCGATCCAGATTAATCGATCAATAGATCATTTAAAATCAAGTTTCGAAGGTCCTTCGATTAAGTCTCTCTAATTTATTCATGTGATATAAAAGGGAGATTTAGTTACGTTACATCAATGAATTTTCTATAGATTCATTTATGAAAATCTTGTTCCGACTTTTCATTCTTTTAAATAATAAAATTTAGTGAATTGTTGGGAAATAAAACGAGTGCAGTAATTTTTCTATAACCATATTAATAAGAATGCGAAATAAAAGCGGAAAAATAATATCCGAAATTGATAACGGAGTTCAGCCAATTTTGCTTACGTCTCTGGACCGCTGCAGATCTTTTACTAAAAGAGAAAATTTACAAGTGTTTACAAAACACTCACTACTCACAATAAAACTCTCTAGTATTGGGAGAAAGAAATGATTTGAGATGATTTTGAAGCTAAATGAGCTAGGGTATTTATAGTTGAAGCTTAGGGACTAATTTTTGATAATACCCTAAAGTGTAATGACTAAAATATAATTAACAATTTCTTAAATTCAAAAAAATGGGCTGCCTAACTTTGAATTCAAGTCGCCCCACTTGATTTAAACAAATAAGCCGCCCATGTTTTGTTTACTTTGAACAATCTCCCACTTGAAGACTGATTTTAATCTGTCTTCACACCTCGATCAATGCAGCAGTATTTCTAGTCTTGTTATTCTAGCATGCCCACTAAAGCTGAGCACAACTTCAGTTTGTCCGTAGTCACCGTCTTTGTTAACATGTCTGTCGGATTTTGAGCTCCACTAATCTTTTCAAGTTTCAAAATCCAATCTTCCAAAAGAGACAGAATAAAATGATATTGTAATTGTATGTGCTTCGTCTTGGAATGAAAAGACGGATTCTTTGCTAGATGGATAGCACTTTGACTGTCGCAATACAAAACATTGTTTTCTTGTTTCTTGCCTAACTCTTCCAAGAAACTTTTGAGCCAAACCATCTCCTTGTTGGCTTCCGTAACAACGACATATTCTGCTTCAGTTGTGGAGAGAGCAACTATCTTCTGTAGTTGAGAAACCCAACTCACTACAGTACCTCCTAGAGTATAGACATATCCTGTAGTGCTCCTTCTGATGTCAACATTTCCAGCTAAGTCAGCATCTATATAGCCTGTCAGTATCGTATCTCCCCCTTTGAAACAAAGTACTTTGTTTGTGGTACCCTGCAGATATCTGAGGATCCATTTGACTGCTTCCCAGTGTACCTTGCCCAGATTATTCATGTACCTGTTACCAACTCCCATTGCATGAGCCATATCTGGTCTGGTACAAACCATGGCATACATCAGACTTTCAATTGCTGAGGCATACGGTACCTTTACCATATGTGCACGTTCTATCTCCGTCTTTGGTGACTGTTCTTTGGAGAGTCTAAAATGAACACCTAAAGGTGTACTTACTGGTTTAGCATCTTGCATGTTGAACCTGGAGAGTACTTTGTTGATGTACTCAGCCTGTGATAACATCAAATTCTTCGCCTTTGTGTCTCTCTTAATCATCATCTCAAGAATCTACTTTGCAACGCCCAGATCTTTCATTGCAAACTGTTTCGACAATTTTTGCTTCAAGTTTATAATCTTTTTCATGTCTGAACCTGCAACAAGCATGTCATCAACATACAACAATAAAATAATAAAGTTATCGAACTTCTTGATGTAGCAACAATGATCTGCTCGGCATCTGGTAAAACCACTGTTACTAATGAAGTTATCGAACTTCTTGTAACACTGTCTAGGAGCTTGTTTTAAACCATACAAGCTCTTCTTCAACCTGCATACCAGGTTTTTCTTGCCTGCCTCTATGAAGCCTTCTGTATGCCTCATATAGATTTCTTCCTCCAAATCACCATGAAGGAAAGTTGTCTTTACATCTAACTGCTCAAGATGTAAATTCTCTGCAGCTACAATTTTCAACACCAGTCTGATTGTAGACAGTTTTACGACTGTAGAGAAAATTTCATTGTAGTCAATATCTTCTTTTTGCTGAAAGCCTTTGACAAGCAATCTTGTTTTGTAGTGTTTTCTCCCATCGTGCTCTTCTTTGATCCTGTAAATCCACTTGTTATGGAGCGTTTCTTGTCTGGTGGTAATTTAGCTAATTCCCAAGTTTGATTTGACATAAACGAGTCCATCTCATCTTTCATGGAAGACTCCCACTTGACTGAATCATCCACCTGCATTACTTCATCATAGCACTCTGGTTCACCATTGTCAGTCAGCAACAAGTAGTGCAAAGAAGGCGAATAACGCTGGGTTGGTTTAGGAATTCTGGAGGAGCGTCTTAATTCTGGTGTCCCTGGTTCTTCTTGAATTGCTTCTGAACATCATTTCCAGAAATCTCCTCAAACTCAACAAATTCTTTTGTTTCAGCTTCGGTGTTGGAGCTACTTGATTCCATGGTTGACCTGTCTTTGTACATCACATTCTCATTGAAAATGACATCTCTGCTTCTGATGACCTTCCGATTTTCATAGTCCCAAAACCGGTAATCGAACTCATCACCACCATAACCAACAAAGGCACATTTGTTGGACTTAGCATCAAGTTTACTTCTTTCAGCAGAGTTTATGTGTACATAAGAAATACAACCAAACACTCTTAAGTGTGAAAGGTTTATTTCTTTCTTGCTCCAAACTTCCTCT